TCAATCTCCATGGACAATTGAGTCTATTAAGGCAGTTAGCTAAACCCTTTTACGATCCATTTGTGTTTCTGCATCACCCACAGAACCAACTTACGATCAGCGGAGACAGTTAATATTTCAGAGGGCTTGGAGAATTTCATACTCATATGACGTATTGGAGGCAAGATGAGCAGAGGAAAAACAATGAGTAATTTCATTTAAATAGATAGCCGATATGCAAATAGATATGTAAATATATTACGTATGAAGATATGTAAACAGATAGGGATAGATAATGAGGAAAGATGACCTGGAGAATTTGACACACACATGACATATTGGACGCAAAGGGGCAAACGGAAGAAGCGAGTAACCTACTAAATAGATAGCCGATATGTAAATAGACATATAAATATATTACGTATGAAGATATGTAGATAGATAGGGATAGATAATGAGGAAAGTGGGTTTGGAGAATTTGGCACTCACATGACATATTGAAGTCAAGAGGTGCAAAGGGAAGAAGCGAGTAACTTATTAAATAGATAGCCAATATGTAAATTGATATATAAATATATTACGTATGAAGATATGTAAACAGACAGGGACACGTAATGAGGGAAGAAGGTCTGGTGTATTTGACACTCTCATGACATATTGAAAGCAAGAGGAACAGAGGGAAGAAGCGAGTAAAATTCGACATTCACCAGACAGATTGAAGGCAAGTGGGATAAAGGAAAACAATGTGTAACATACTTGACAAGCTTGAATAAATCTCTGGCAGAACAAGCTCTAGGAGAGATGACAAAAAGACAGAATTTATTAAGAGCTAAAAGGGTCAGGAAATAGTGGAGATCCATGACTGTTAATGTCCTGAAGGGACACGGCGCATAGAAGAAGAATGAGAAATGAGTTCCACCAGTTCAAACAGCCACCGCTAAGAGCAGCGTACATAGAGCTGACTCATTCTCACTTCCTTCGTATTCCATTGGTAAGGAGGACAGTTAACCCCCCACCCCATAACTGCTACAATGTAGAAAAGACTACCGAGAGAATGCTTCCTGATCACGACGATCTTAACCTCTTCAAGTCTAGGGTCAAACGTTATCTGTTCTACATGTCCTCATAATAAGCACTTCTTAATTCCTCCCTTTACACACTTGTAATAAGCTCATTCAGTAGCGCTCTACCTTGAGTGGCCTTGGTTCTTGGGTGAAAATTGTGTATATTCAGGGCCGGTGCAAGGGTCTCATGCCCCCCACCCCCGTCACCGAATCTAAGATACGGGCCCCTACCAACACGATACTACATCTCAACTTTCATAAGGTAGTATTCATATAAAATACACAGTTTATTGTAACCTAATTATGCAGCAGGGCCGGCATTGCCCGTGCTTGATTCAAAAATCGTACGACTCATACAGCAGTCGCTATCACTGGACTTAAAATATTTTTGCCCTTCCTTGCCTTTAAAGGAGTGCCCTTTGCCGTGCTGATGTTGCTACATGCCTTACTTCTTGCCTATCTCACACTGCGAATTTTTTCTAAGCTCTATATTAAACATTAAATCTTTTACGAAAAAAGAACTAAACAAAATGAACACAAAACGATCAGCTTTAAAAAAGGACACGTTACTGGAAAAACCGAATGAAAAAAGAATGTTAACAACAAATACTTTTGCACACCCAACCCAATTCTGCGGAATCAGAATCAACGTTGAGTTTAAGCAAGCGAATGAGCCAATTGGAGTAAAGTGCCATGCAGATTTAAATTTTTCCACTTGTGACGAATTGTTAGCATGCAAAAAAACACAGCTGACTGACACATTCGTGTCAGTCAGCTGTTGGCTCTCACGCTGGTCAATAGAATCTTCCTGTCTATTTGTGGCAGCCAGCTATATGCTCTCACTCTGGCCAGTACAAAATGGCCGCAAACTACATGAAAACTGCCGTAGAAGCATGAAAAAATCGATTATTTCCACTATCGATGGGAGTTGGGAAATGCAAAGTTGGTGTTGGCCTTCCCGCTAACTTGGAGCATGTGCATGTAAATTTTGGTGCAAATCCGTCGAAAATTTCGGCCGTGCATTCGTCACACACACACACACACACACACACACACACACACACACACACACACACACACACACACACACACACACATCCTGTCTTTCATAAATAGAGATAACAGATCACATGCAATATAGGTGAACAATTCAACTAGAAAACTTGAAAATAAATACAATGTATCTAAATGCAAATTAGAGACATGTTATAATTGATTATTCCACTTAATTAAATCAGCAGCAGCCATTTTTAACATCATATTGAGATTTTTCTTGCTAAAAAGTTGAATAATTTTAACACATTCAACATTATGAAGAAAAAACAGTGAATTTTATAAAAGTGTTTTTTTCGAGACTTAGCATAAGCAAAACAAATTTACGAATTTGGATGAACAAAAACAAAAAGACCCCAGAATGACGTCAAAATCCCCGAAAATTTTTCATCCTTTCATAGTCAGTTTTACTTAATTTAATTTGTAACGTATATAAATGTCGGTAAAAAAAAGCAAATGTTGATAAGATAGCGGGTGCCACAAAGCATTATCAGGGAGCCCCAATCAGATTTACCTCCTTCCCCCCGGGGGGGTATGGGCTTCATGATAAAACTTACCGACCCTGGGTGTATTTCTATAAAACATAACCTTATGTTTGTATTTCAGTTGGAGTAAAAGGTACTGACAGAACATAATCTAATAATTCTGCCTGTCCCTCCCTCCATTCGATAGTTCCTTAGTTAGTTCGCACGACCGTTACGCCTTGCCAATACCTCATAAATAGTGAACTATTCTGTTTTAACCGCGTGAGAAGACGGAAATAACATATTGAAGATGCTACTTGGTTTCAGTGAGAAAATGAATGAATGAATGAAAGAAAGAAAGAAAGAAAGAAAGAACGAAAGTCGGGAAGATAGAAGTGAAGTGTTTAACGTCACCTGCCAATACCTCATAAATAATAGACTATTTCATTTTGATCGCGTGGAAATACCGATCAAAGACACTACTTGGTTTCAGTAAGAAAGAAATAAGGCAAGATAGGAGTGTTCAAAGTCTGTTTCAGTGTAATAGAAAAAAAGTATCAATTTCAGACATTTAAAAAGGACTGCTACTTGAATGTATATACTGTTAATATCCAGGATTGCACCATGCTGGTCCTGTAGTCACAAAGTCAAGGAGATATAACCACGAATGAATATACTTGTAATTATGCTATAACGCGGCCATTTAAATTTTTTACATTCCATGGAATTAGGAGACCTCGGAATTATTAGTTTAAATGAAAAACAGTAAAACCGGGGAATTTTCACGGGTAGCATTAGTTCATTATAATTGTTATTAATTATTTTCAATCACAAGCCTGTAGCCTAAAAATTGAGTTATAGTCTTTGCCAAGGAAAAGATTATCGACAGATTGTAAAAGTAATCAGTGGGAGCATTAGCCTAATTTGCTTTACGCGTGTTATTATAGTTAATATTGCTACATTCCATAGGTAATAAATAACTTTAATGAAATTATATACATTAATTGCAGAAATATATATATATATATATGTATATATATATATAATACTTATTATAAAACCCAGGTGTGTGTGTGTGTGTGTGTGTCTGTACGTTTATATATTAGATCGGATTTCCTACATTTTCAAATGAAAACAAAACTTCACAGGACTACGTAAAATTACCTTGCGGTGGTTCTGACAGCGCAAAAAAATGGAAAAAACAATTGTTTTTGCACGAAATCAATTTGAAAACACGATTAAGAGGCATCACGAGAATGAAAAAGGGACAACTCATATCGAGTTATACTTATTATAAAACCCAGGTTGTTTGTGTGTGTGTGTGTGTGTGTGTGTGTTTATATATGGGATCGGATTTTCTACATTTTTCAACCGATTTCAACAAAACTTCACATTTTTTTTTGGCAGGTAATGTTTCTTATTGTCTTGCACACTTTTTTCGTTATTTTTACATTCAGAATGCTTTAAAAATTCCATTTACAAGACAATTGTTTATATTAAAATTCTATTCAATCGATAGACTCATAACGATTGAAAACAATGTTTTTGTTTGAGTTTGAATTTGACCAATTCGTAAAAAAAAAAATTAAGACATGCGTGTCCGTCAACCTTAAACAATAATGTTTGTCAATTTTATTTTTCAGTCTTTATGATGGTCGATACTTGATCTATCTCTTACTGTTACATCCCTGAGGAACTGGGCTCTACTGAAAAAGTATATATATAATATATATTTATATATATATATATATATATATATATATATATATTTTTAAAGCAATGATTTTTAGTTATCCATCATTTAATGTTTGGTTCACTTCGTATGAGATAGCATTTTAAGACATTTAGCAACATCAGTATTCGGACTATTGTCCTCAAAGAAGGACAAATTTATTTTTTAAGTCAACAGATAGCGATTGCTGTTTCAGTCATTACGACTATTTAATCAAACACAGGTTAAGGACAAATGGTACAGTGGATAAATATATGGACTAGATCTAGGGTTAACAGGACCCAAAGAAGTTGTGAGTTCAATATATTTTAGTTTTGTGGCGAACTTGGGGTATTGAATTAACAGGATAGTAACTGATAACCGACATGTTAGATTGGCACTTGGAACTATTAAATTTATTTTAACCATCAAACACGAAGAATAAAGGGTTCAGTATCGACATTTCACATTCTGACGTTTTATGATGAATTAAGGTAGGTGCCATCATACTTTCGCTCCCAAACGTTAGTTTAAATTTTCAAAACAACGTTTTTGGGAAATGTCCTGTAATAACAAAAATAGTGTATATGATACCTGATCAGATGAACAAATTGATCTTTTATCATTTTGTTTGCAATTCATTTTCCATTTGAATTGAAATCCAATCCACACCTCCTGTCTTTTTAAAACCTAAGTAACCTTTAATATATTTTACCACAATGGTTAAATTACGACCATATCACGTTGAAACACCGGTTCTCGTATGGTTCAAAAAGTTAAGCAACGTCGACGCTGGTCAGTACCTAAATGGGTGACCGTTTGGGAATACCAGGTGCTGTAAGCTTGGATGTGCGGGGTATGTAATGGATAACGATCGAAATTGTTAATCGAAGAGCCGAGTTCTAATTCCAATCGGTTTTTATATTCACTTACAGAAAATACTCTTTGGGAAAGGTATGAGCCCACATCTTCAAGCCCCCAGCTAATAATAAATAGATGTCTTTATCACTAAACCATTATTATATTTCCTCTCCACAAAAAATTCTTACAATCTAAAAATATTTTCTGGTTTTAAAGGGTTGATAAGCCGTAAAAAATGAAACAATCAGTCAATTATAATGTTCGTTTTTTTTTGATAAGTCAATTTAAATTGGAAAAGAGCAAGACAGAAGGGGTAAGAGAAAAGAGTACATGAAAGTCTAAAGATAGAAGAATATATATATATATATATATATATATTTACAATATAGCACGAAGAAGTAGATAAATGTTGAAAGTTACTTTCGAAAGAAAGCAATGTAAGTCTTCTTAATCGGTTCAAAAGCAATGTGAAATGAATGTAAGAGAATTTATTAGGACGTGGGGAGTGTGGGAATAAGAAGATAGTTGACCCTTGACTAGAAGAGGTCAAGATCAAAGAACTCACAATGTGACATCTCTTTGGAAAAATCTGTTAAACATCCTTCTTGCATTTGGAACATAGAGCAAGATCATCAATTTATTTTATTTTACTGAGATACAATCTAACTAGAATAAAGATGAAATAACTATAAAAATATTTTGATTGATTCATTTTCTACGGCCGAACAACCCTTTGCAATTTATTTAAAACCAGAAAATATTTTTAGATAGTAAGATTTTTTGGTGGGTGGGGAATAATAATGATTTAGTGATATAAGTCTTACTAATTAATCCATACCTGGGTTCCCAGGGGTATTTGCATGTACGTGAAATTCACAAAGCAACAAAATTTTGTATAAAGTGGCAGAATGGGAGAATAAAGTTTTAACATTTTCTAATCGAATTCACCTCATGTAAGGCAGTTTGGCCACTAAGATACAAGGGGTTACTGGGTGTGAGAGAATTAGAAAACAGAAGCATTATTGAGGAGCGAGAACAATCGACCAGTAATCAAGAAGACAGTATATATAACGGTTGATATAGCATTTAATTTTTTTTAAGATCAAAGCAGTTGGGCGTGTATCCAGCAACTTCAACACTAAATAAACTACTTGATACGGAAACGACAACAACAACTAGTTTACATTAGGTATCTTCACTAATTCGCCGAAAAAGAGCATACCATAATGAAAAAAGGTCCCAGATTTGATGAAAAATTGTTTATCGTCTAAATGTTTACGTTATTATTAAGAGGAAAGACCAAAGTATTTTTTGATTATTCTATTAATTTTTTTCATCCCTTTTAGAACATTCGAAACTAATACCATTAAAAAGCGTGTCTTAACCGCGATTACCCGTTTTTTCAAGAAAAATAAACATTTATGTAACTGACAATTAATAATCAAAAAAGCTTTAGTTTTAGGTCAGAGGGAAGTTATCGGACGGAAGAACAGATGTGACGTAATTTTTTCGAATTTTAGATGAACTAATTTATTCAACTAGCCAGTAATTTTTAAAAATTAACAAATACTTTCAGCAATCTAATATTTTATTGATTTTTATTTTTCATTTTTTTATATATATTTATACTTTATAGACTTACGAAAAAAGATGATTTATAAGAAATATAAAATTTAAAGTACTAACAATAAAATAAATTTAAAATTTCATTATATATGAGAAAATATATATAAGAGAGGTACCTGTTTTTACGTACATCTCTTATAAAATTTTATTTTTTATTAGTATTTTATATTAATTCAAACTTCATTACGGTGCCCAAAATGGTTAGCGGGTCGGTTTGAAAAAAAAATCGGAAACTTGAGTTTAAAGCAATTTTCGAATCTAAATTACATGATATTAGGAAAGGTATGAATTTTCTTTTATCCCCCACCATTTTTAATCCTAAATAGCAGGATAAATTGTAGTAAACCGCAAAAAAGAAATCAACAAACTGCGGAAAAAATCTGATGGTATCAGTCATGTTTTGAGATAACTCGAAATGAAAAAACTTCACTGTTGAGATAATATAAAAAATAATACCATAAAATTTCTTTAAAAGGTTAATAATTATAGGTTTTTATGAAATGTTATTTTTTTAATTCATTAATTGGAAAAAAATTTTCCTTATTTTTAATATCAATTGTCGAAAAATATGACAGTTAACAGTGGTGACATTTTTTATTAATGTAATCATTTGCACTTTTTATTTTATTTAATCATAGTTCACTAAAAATAGAAGTGTAAAAAAACTATGCAATTAATTTCAGAAATTCGTGAAAATTTGGTGGCCCTATTTTTTTAAAAAAATATTCTAACGAAGATATGTCCACAGCCTGAATCACCGTTTCCGTCCCTAAAATGGAAACTAAAAAAAGAAAATAATTAATAATTGCAGCATGTCTCTCATTGAAAACAATAAATTAATTATATTTAAGAAATTAAATTAAAATATTTATGCAAAATAGGACATAAAAAAATATAAAACTTTTGAAAATGCGACGTTGATGGTCAAAGTCAGAGAATTCAACATATGTTTTCGTATTGAAAACTAAAATTTTCCGAGGTCAGTTTATTGATGTCAGGAGAAACTACTCTTAAAACACAGATAACATTAACGTCACTTACGACCATCCATATATTTGGAAAAAAAAAGTTTTTGTGTTCAAAAACAGTGTAAAATCCTTTTTAAAATACATGTACACTGCAGATTGTAATAAGCTTTCAAGTTTATCATCTGTAAATCTTAATAACAGCATTCCCTAAAATTTACGGTTTGAAACTTAATTTTAAAATATTTAGCAACTTTATTACATTTTGTATTTAAAATTTAAAAAAAGAAAACAATTCTTGTAAAAATTCTTTTTTCATTGGAATAATATTTTGGCTTCACACATTATTGTACTTAACATATATTATTCATAAAAGTCATTAAAAGTTGTTCTAATTCACTGATGTCTTAGATATGTTTTGTATGTTACAATTTAGAACTGATTTTTAGTAACTGTGTGTTTCGAGTCAACAAAAAATCAATGATTTATATTCTTCAAAGTCTTCTGCTTTTAACTAATATTATCAATAAAATTTACGCCATTCACTTTCACAAGTTTTCATAAAATTAAGTAAGGAGGTGGAGGGGTTAACAGATGTAAAAAAAAAAAAGAAAGTATTTTTACCATGCTACTCTAAAAAAATAATTTCATTAATTTGTGAATAAGTTCTGAAATTGTATTTAAGATCAGACAATTATTTGATTTTTGCAAGAATTCCCAAAAAAATGTGTTTTTAACGCCCCCAAAGATGTTAAATTTCCTAATGCTGATCTTTGGCGGAACCACTGACGCCAAAAAAAAAAAAAAGAAAGAAAATTACAAGATTTTTAACCAAAATTTCGAACGTTTAAAAAAAAAAAAACGTTATTAAAAATTTAATAAAATAAACAATTCTTTGGCCTTTTTTCTTAATAATAACATAAACATTTAAACGATAAAACTTTGTTTTCATTAAGTTTGGAGCATTTTTTCATGACGGTATTTTTTGGGTTTTTTTTGCGGGGGGGGGTTGCAATTAGTTGAGATACTGAGTTTACATTATATCCATGCGCGCTATTGTCCCTATTTTTGTTGTTGTGATCACGACGTTACAGCCATTGCATCCACCGGCCATCATTAGATGCGTGTCGATCCGGGTAACCTTAAGAGAATTTCGAACTGAACCGTTTATTCAATCTAAGAGGGTAGATCTTTCTCCTTCTCTCGTCTAGAAAAGGAACAAAGGTCAAAGTTTCAACATCAGTTGACATATTTTTTTTCTTTTGCTGCTGCAGGCTGATTTGCATAATTACTTCGTGGACAGCGGGTCAGACAGGCAACTGCCATAAATAGCCTGAACTATGCGAATTATCCTTTTAAATACATCTAATTATATTTGAATCTATTAAAAGGACACAAACATTTTTTACAACATAAAAAGAATGAACTCGGCGCATTGTATGATAGCGAATTAAGTATAACAAAAAATGACAACTACCCAATTTTAATGCAAACTCTATGTACGAGCGGGTCATGTTTATATTGTACCAGCAGCAAGAAAACTTCGATCACGTGACCACAATAGTAGCCACTATAAGTGCGCATCAGTTGAAAGCGGTGGAACAAACCTAAATATACGCATATCTCATTAAGACCTTTTCATCCATATATCTGCTGACTTTATTTTCGTATCCGAAATGTAAACAAAGTAATTACAAAGTAATCAAAGGATTTTGACGAAAGTGCGACTAATTTTTGACTTAACCTTCTATATACCATTATTTTGTTTGTAACATAACAGAATATGATACTAGTGTTACAAGACACCCTGTACGCTCCATGAGTGTGGCAGTTCTAGACAGCTCGGTCACAGAGAGCTTTACATCTCGCTACAAATATAACTTTTAAATTAATACGAAACAATGTCTGATTAAAAATCAAACCCATGAATTCCTTAGAAGTGAGTTGTGTCTACGTTTCCGATACGAAAATAAAAATTAGCAAATATGGGCTTCGAGAGATCTGAACAAGAGATGGGCATTTTTAAAATCTGCATTGTTGTGAGTGCTGGGCAATCTCCTCGAAGATGAAAAAGTGACTTGAAGCAACAGAAATGTGCTTTTACAGAACGATGCAGATTATACCATGGATCGAACCTGTGGGCAACTACGAAGTTTTATAGAAAATGGAAAGAAAGGAAACTTATACTTAACACCAGGAAGAGACAGTTGAGGTTTCTAGGACACATAATGAAGAAAGAGGATCGAAAAATCTAATACACGCAGGACAGATTGAAGGTAAGAGGGACAGAGGAAAACAACACATAGCATATCTAGTGAGCTTGAGTAAATGGATGGCGGAACAGGGTTTAAGAGAAAGGTACAATTTATTAAGAGCTACAAGGGAGAGGA